ATACACCGGTTCCCGTACGATCGCCAAAGTTAAGCAACCTCAAATCTGAGTAGTACTTACATGGGTGACCACTTAGTAATACAAGGTGCTGTAAGCTTGCATGTTTAGATGGTTTGGTTTGGTTCAGTTGTTTCACAGCATATCAACCGCAATGGGTTATTTAATACCGATAAGATTTTTATTACTGGTAATATTTTTTTTCTTCAAAAATGCATCTCGGGTAATATTTTTTTTTTCAAAAATGTTTTACTGGTAATATTTTTTTATCCAAAAATGTATTGTTAGTAATATTTTTTTTTTCAAAAATATATTGCTGGTAATAATTTTTTACAATGAATTGTTGGTATTAAAATTTATTTTTACACTTTCATAGTGTTTTGACCCCGTTTTAGGTGTTAACTATTTACCCATAGCTTGGACCCTAACAGGTGCTACCACCTTGGGTCAGAATGAACCTGGAAACACCAGCAATTAAGAAGTGGTTCCACGCCCTTCAAAACCTTTTGATCAGAGGCCTTGCTTTTGGACGTAGTTTATCGTCTTACCCAGGACGCGGATGTAGTTTCTCGTCTTACCCAGGACGCGGACGTAGTTTATCGTCTTACCCAGGATGGTGTGCAGACGGTGTCATGGATAATGGCTCGGAATTGTTAATCGGAGAGACGAGTTCCAATTTTAGCTGGGTTCATTATCTTCCTTTATGCGCGAATATCCTTGAGATCCCCCAGCTATGGGTTAATTAGTAAGATTTATATCACTAAATCGTTATTATCCCCCCCCAAAAAAATGAATTCTTAAAGTATTTTAATGGTTTTAAATAACCTGAAAAGGGTTGATAAATCGTAGAAAACGAATCAACCAATTTTCTTTTATGTACCGTGTACCATCATGGAATGTGCGAACATGGCTCTCCACAACTTCCTCTTTTTTGTAGCTATTAGCAATGTTAGCTTTTTAACGACTCCTTCTACTCTTTGATCTTCCATCTATTTACATGCAAATTTGTTGGGTAGGTTACTCGATGTTCATCTCTGTTCCACTTGTTGTCAATTTGACCTGTGAGTGTCAAATTCTCCAAGCCTCCTTCTTCATTGTATCCCGGGATGTTCAACTGTCTCTTTCTGATTCTAAATAGGGGTTAGTTTCGTTTCTTTTCTCTTTTTCGTATTGCTGACATAGCTGGGTTGGAGCTAACCAATCTTCCTTTTTCAGCCTTAGCATAGTTCAAAAGAGCTTTTACACGGCCTTGCGGGTGATTAATTATTTTCAACGCTACAGCCGCTTTTCCACAGTCACAGCCTCTATTTTATCGCTATTTCACTGGCAAATGTTCAGACGAGCTACATTCTTAATCGCACTCCTTCAGACCTTTCAAGCCAGCATCTGCCATGCCACTTACACAGAATGGAACCATTCTCGTTCATTTCTCCAAGAAACCTAAACCCCCCCACCAAAAAAAAAATCCAGTTCTAACAAGCACAGACAATATCCCTCCGAGAGGGTTCACCACTTATTTATTTATTTTTGTTAATGGCTACCTATGGTTTAAGTGGAAATAGCAATAAATCATATGAGAAATACCTATTTTAAATTTCTGATGAATCTTAATACTTTAGTTAATGAATGAATATGATCACAGTGAATTATACGATAAAAAATATCCTTAGAAATTTCCATATTGCATTGTTAAATATTTTAGATTTACAACTTTTAAAAATTATTGCAATCAGGCAGTTATGATACACGCTTTAGGTGATCATGTATCTTTCGATAATGCAGATTTTTTTCAGTAGGTTGCCATTTCTTTCAGTTTTCATCCAAGGCTCTTAGAACCCGGTTTGTCCTGCTATTTACCCATAGCTAGGGGGAGAAGATGAAGATTCATACATTGCCCAAGGGTATTAGCGCGCAAGTGAATGTAATGGATTCGACTGGATTTCGAACTCGGCTCTCTAATTCCTCCCTCCAAGCCGCTATCCATTACTCTACGGTGCCTAACAATCATAAATATGAATGCTGTTTGTTATTTTAAGGGATGTGGGGGGGTACAAATGAAAAGATTTCAAATTGACAATTTTAATTTCACCGAAACAAAGGCTAGATATGTTTATCTTCATTTCTTTCTTTCTTTCTTTCTTTCTTTTTTCATTTTCTCACTGAAACCAAGCAGTGTCTTTCGCTTCTTTCCACGTGATCAAAACGGAATATTTAGGCGGTATTGGCAGGGCGTAACGGTCGTGCTAACGAAAGGCTGGACAAGCACAATTATAATAGGGTTCTTTACTTGCCCTAGGTCGGTGGTTATTACCAGACATGTGATTATAAAACAAATGCAAGTCGAAAAGCAATGTTTTAATATAGTAATTTTAATAATAATCTTAATAATAAATCAAGTTTTCCTGTCAGTTTAAATAAATCTTCGTTACTTAGTTTTATGAAATGAAATACGTTCTTTTCCCCTTTGCATTGCTCTGATATCATTCTGATCAAGGAATTGGAAGTTGAATATTATCGTAATTTTTTCTCTGTACATTACTTGTCAACTGATTGATACGCCTGTCTTTTGCCATTCTTCGCTCTATCCCGATTCCAATTCAGACAAGATCGTCATATAGATGACTCGTTGCATCTTCATGCACTTTAATCTTCGATATCACCCGTCAGTGTCAAATTCTCCAAGCCTTTTCTTCTCGTTATGCGTCAAAGAAATTTCAGCTGTCTCGTTTTCGTTTTCGAGTATAAATGTTCTTTGTTTCTGTTTAACCCTAAGACTTTTTGGTTCCCCACGCCCTCCGGCTATGGTATCTTTAGAATCCTACTGTAGAACCACGTTTCTGTTGGCCCCTGTCTCCTCTTCATCGGCCCTGTTTTTCAAACAATTTATAGAAAAGACAGAGGGGAGCAACGTCATGGCAGTGGGGAAGAGACTGATGTCGAGATGCCAGGTCAGGACCTATAACATTACAGACCGTTCCTGGATTTTGACAAGAAGCTCGTGATATACAGCGGGAGTACCAAATCAGATGTGACAGCACGGATGCACGCACGAATGGTAGATTTAGAAATGTGCAATTCTGATGCGAAACAGTAACCAATTTACAGTAAACCATTTTGTTTTTAGCAGCAAACGTAGCAATTGCTTCAATATTATCATTCCATTTGAATGTCAATGGAAAACGTGAGACCACGCATGCGCAATGTTTTTTTTTTCTTTTGGATTTTAGCTTTAGCCATGATAATGGAAAGCAAAAATTGGTCACCGGAGCCTGGTCGAGTGTCTAAAACGTTATATTTCCGACCACAAGAACAGAATTCGAATTTCACCAGAGTCGATTCGTCAAAAGGGTTACATATTTATAATATTAAGTCAATGAAACGATCCCAGGCTGGAGAGCAGTTGGGATTTGACTGAAAACCATATTACGGGTTGACTCGTTTTTCATTGGCTGTAAAATGTTGTTTTTTTTTTGTTTTTTTTGTGGGGTGGGGGTTAATGTTGAGACTACTTCGAATATCATTCTTTTTTTTTTAAACCGGAAATGATTGTTGCTTTTTAATTTCCAGTATATTAGAAGCCGCCAGAATAAAAACATTCGTTTTTCGTGGTTTTTTTTTTTTCAGGGATCTGACACCAGAAGGTAAAAATATTTTTACAGTCAGTCAAGTTGACGCTATCGGAAACTCTTGTGTATCAGAAAAACACATGAATATACAATCAATTAGGACCGTTAGAACATCTGTCCCACCAGTTGTTACGAGAATACAGGTACCGGCACGATTAAATCCTTTCCTACATTTTATTACCCCCACCCCAAACACCAAGTTTATATATATATATATATATATATATATATATATATATATATATGTATATGTATGTATTTATATATTTTTATATATATATATATATATATATATATATATATGTGTATATTAACCACTTATATTATCTATCTATATATATATATATATATATATATATATATGTAAGCAAATGTAAATGGATATAGATCCGACAGAATATATATATATATATATATATATATATATATATATATATATATATATATATATATATATATATATATATATATATATATATATATATATATATGAAAACGGCTCAATATCTGTGATATAGGTAATATATTCTGTTGAAATATTTTTCTAATAATTTTCCTCCACAGAACAAATTTTTTCTTCCAGAAATAAAAAAACTTTCCCGCTTATAATTTTAAAAATATCCTAGCGGATTGACAATTTCAGGCAACGATTGTATTTGGCAAAAACGGAATAGACAGGTGGAAAGAAACTATGCAAAAAGAAAAATAAATAAGACGTGAAGAGACGAAGAAAAGATAGAAAGAATAAAATTAATAGCCAGTATTTTTTGCCGGACATATTTTCCCAAATAAATGAGTTTGTTTTCCTGGAATTTTCATACAAGCTGATAGATAGATAGATAGATAGATAGATAGATAGATAGATAGATAGATAGATAGATAATGAAGTGACTGAGATAGATAGATAGATAGATAGATAGATAGATAGATAGATAGATAGATAGATAGATAGAGGATGTGATAAGTAAATTGTCGACATTCTTTTTTTTTTAATCTAGCGCATGCGCGTTGTTTGTTTTTGATTTTTGTCGACTGCATAATATAGTAGGGTCAGTTAAGCACAGTATGTGGAAAGGAACACAATGACGAAATTCACTCCAGAAATTTGGAAACGTCATGTTATATGCACCGGAAGCTCCAATCCGGACATTTCAAAGTGTTTGGGTGACAATCTGAGGACAGTGCACAGGATTCGGAAAGTGTTGGATGAGCCTAATTGTGATTACGAAGGTGTTTGGATTAATCACTAGTGATGGTCTCCATTCGTCTTCACATAGGCCTCAGCATCAACACGAATGCCTACATCAAGATAGTGCTTCCCTGTATAAACAGGGTGGCTGCTGGATGATTCTGTGTCTGGCAACAAGATTCTGCACCATGCCACACAAGCAGGAGAACCTAGTCATGGCTGACAGGCAATTTCTGCGAGCGCATCACCCCTTACATCTGGCCACTTAACTGCTCAAACTAAA